ATCAATTCTTTTTCCCTCATCAAACTGTGATAGCTTGACTCCACATTCTATAGGGGTTTTTATAGGTTGACTATTCTCCATCTTGAATTTCTTCAATATCTCCCTTGCATAACCTTCTTGTGAGATGAAGATCCCATCTTCTATTTGCTTGACTTCAATGCCAAGGTGGAATGTCATGAGCCCAATATCAGTCATTTCAAACTCCTTTGTCATCGCTTATTTGAACTTCTCAAACATGTTTGGATTGCTTCCTGTGAAGATCAAGTCATCAACATATTTAATGTAGAATTTTTCTTCAATTATTCCATTCAAGAAGGCAGATTTTACATTCATTTGATGTATTCTCCACTTATTTTGAGCTGCCAAAGAGATGATTAGTGGCTATAACATGCTCTTGGTGCTTGCTTTAGCCCGTATAAAGTCTTTTTTAACTTTAGAAACTTGTCTTCTTGCCCTTTGACTTCATATCTTGGTGGCTGCTTAATGTAGACTTTTTCTTCAAGTATTCCATTCAAGAAGGCAGATTTTACATCCATTTGATGTATTCTCCACTTATTTTGAGCTCTTTCTTTCGATGCATTCTCTGATGTAGTGATAGCGCATATCAATGTGTTTGCTTCTATTCTGGAAAAATGGATTATTTGCTGTGTACACCCACTTCACATCAATTGCCTTATGCCCTTTAGGAAGTGAAGCTAGTTCTCATGTGTCGTTCTTCTCGATTGTCTTGATTTCTTCATCAATTCCATCTTTTCACTTCTTGCTTTGTATGGCTTTTTGGAAATCAATGGGTTCACAGTCGGCAAAGAGACAAAAAGAGTAAAATTATTTTGATTCATAGTTATCTCATAAAGATCTTCTAATCTTCTGAAGCGTGTTACTCTTTCACTTGAATTTTCTCTTGAAGTTGATGACGATGAGTTGTTTTGATTGCTTATTGTTTGTGGAGTAGTAGCCAGTAGGCTCTTCTCTTGCTTGCTCGATCCTTAGCTGCTCTACGTCTTCTTCTTGAAAGTATGGGAAAAAGTTATAGTCCTCAGCATGTAGTCCCCATTATCATTCTCCTTCTTCATCGAATGTGACATATCTGTTGATGGTTGTTTTCCCTGTATTTGGATTGTATAACTTGTAGCCTTTTGAGTTGTTGTCGTAACCAATGAAAATAAACTTCTCTCTTTTGTCATCCAACTTACTTCTTTTCTCGTCGGGTATGTGTACATGAGTTATGCATCCAAAAACTCGTAGATGAGAGATGTCG